AATGTAATACATGGTTGAATTTATTTTCCATAAATATATTCTGTCTGATTCACTTTGTCTACTGAGAGGTGAATTTTAACGGTACTGATTACTTAACTTTCACATGTTCTGTTTTCCGCCTATGATTGTCATTTGTTTGTTCTGTTTGAGGCATATAGAAATTTGCACATTCATAATTAAAAAAAAAAACAATTCAAACACTTTTTACATACTACAGTACAATTTACCAATAATTGGCAATTGCCTGAACTACATGTTTGAAATCTTCTTTAGAGTGTTATACTAGCTTACAACACTTTCAGATATAATTCAGTATTCTAAGAAAAGCCCTATTTATTTGATCTAAAACTATAATAAAATAAGATTACATTTTGTTCTAATTAAGCACTGTTTAAATTCCATGCACCATCTTAAACCACTAAATACCACAGCATCTGAGGTATCGTTGTAAAAGAGGTTTGCAGTGCATTCACAAACAGATCGTAATAGCAAATTACTGAAAGCCAGACAGCCAACCATCCATTCATGGCACATTCTGTACATCAGATTCAGAAAATAATACAAGTAAACACCCAGCTGCTTTTCTACAAATGTTTTACAGCCCTTTCACTTTTTTATAGTTTTGTGCTCTTTTGATATTTGCATGAAATGTCTTTGTGAACTAAAACAATAAAGATGTGTTCTCGGATTCATTTCAGTGATATCTGATATTTACAGATGGCTGTGCTTTGATATCCCTCTCGTAAATCCACTTTAATTCAATACTGTAAATACAGATTAATTTTAAAAACCCATCAAGAACATGTCCAGGTCATTTTTTCACCCCCTCAAAAAAATTAAAAGAAATGCATTAATTAATGGGAATATTAAGTTATATTTTGCATAAAGAAAATAAAACCTTTTCCAATTACTGTATTACAGTAATAAGACTATAATGAGAATCCCCATTTAAAATACTGAGAATCACAAACAAACTAAACAGTAAAAGAAATTACAATAATAATGTGCTAAAGAAGGATTCAATATCTTTATGCAATTTTTTTTTTTTTTTTACATTTTTGTATTTTATGTGTTTGTGAAATATGACATGGACATGTTTTTTGAAAGATTCACCCATTTAGAGATGACATTTATAATATTTTACAATTATGGCACATTCTAAAAACACTTGACAAAATGAACATCAAATACAAGAATACTGATGAAAATGTCAATGCCATTTATGCAGCATTATGTAAGATTTTATTTGACTTTTTCCTTTCAAAATCCTCCTAATAAATCTGTTGACTTTTAGAGCATAAAATGGATTAGAATAGATTAGCAGCAGAAACAGGCACCGTTCTCGGTGAAATCCTATTGGAAATGCTCTAGCAACAGAGATCTACAATAGAGTTAATGCCAAACACTGAATCCAGCTCAACTATAAAGCAAATGAAATCCAGCATAATGCTGCATTGGGGAATATTTCTATTTACATAAGATAAACCTTGTTAAAACTCCAAAGCGCTTAGTGAGTCTTTAAACCTGAATATTTTGACAGCATTTGAGCCTCTTGTGTCTTGTGTAGAATGTGGTCATATTTTTTCCTTCAGCTATACAAATCATTCTGAGACATTAGAGTGACACTGAAGTCAACATGAAATGGCATTTTACTATAATAACATCTATTAAGAAGAGACATTTTTGACTTCATGTTGACTTTACGTCATTCCATGTGGAGAGACTACCGGTTAAAAGTTTGGAATAATTTAAATGTTGTTTTAAAGAAGTCTCTTCTGTTCACCACGGCTGCATTTATTTGATCAAAAATACAGTAAAAATTGCATTATGATGAAATACTATTACAATTTAAAACTACTGTTTTTTAATTTGACTATATTTTAAAATGTAATTTATTCCTGTGATGCAAAGCTGAATTTTCAGCATCATTACTCCAGTCTTCAGTGACACATGATCCTTCAGAAATCAGAAAAAACGTAATTATTCCAAACCTTTGACCGGTAGTTCACACCTGAACTAATGAACTGAACAGAAGGCCTCTGTTCAAAATTGAGGTGCTTGTTTAAAATAATCTGGCTAGTTTGGCATTCAGGTAAAGGATGCTTCCAAGCTGATGTTTCTCAAAGTTCCTACAAGGTTCCTGCGTGAACACTAGCAGATCTGGGAGGCCCGTCGGGTCTGATGGGCCCTTGCGCATGTGGAGGTATGTCGGTTGAAGCTGTCCCTCCACATGAAGCGTTTGGAGCACAGGCTGCACTCGTAGGGTTTAATGCCCGTGTGGATCTTCATGTGGCCCACCAGGTGATGCTTCATTTTGAAGCTTTTGCCGCAAACGGCACAACTGAACGGCCTCAGACCCAGATGCATGCTCATGTGCCGATCCCTCTGGCTTTTGTGCGTGAAACTTTTGCCACACTGGCACGGATAGAGCTTGTAAACCACCGAAGCGAAGCCTGAGTGCGAGGTCTGCTCCTTTAGGCCGCTGTCATCTGGCGTCTCGTCTTTACAAACATCTGCACCTCCATCGAGCTGAAGTTTATCCCTGGACATTGAGTTGGAAAGCTCGTCCGAGGCTTGCGAAAAGCCCCCCATGGAGGTCCCGTAGAAGTCCAAGGGCTCTTCATAGGTGCAATCTCGATCCAAGCACTCCACCAGTTTCTCATCCAAACAATCCTCTGCTGTGCTTGGATTGTGAGAGTTTTCGTCTGGATCGTTTATGGCATGTTCGGCGCCAAACAGGCCATCGCAAGCATCTCGATTCTGCCTTTCTGCTTTTATATGCACCTTCTTTCTGTGTCCCATTATGCTCGGTGGCACATAGGCCGGTCTAGAGCACTGGTTTTCCATTGCATCCGAGCCATTTTCACTCGGATCATCTGGAGACGAACAACCAGCGCTTTCTAATGTGCCTGGCCCTTGATCGGCTAGATCTCCTTGACCTGCAGTCTGACCAGCATCCTCATTATCAGTGGCATAACTGTCACCTTTTGGAGATGATCCATGGTCCATCCGGTTTTTCTTCCCTACTTCCAGAAGCTCAGTGCATTTGTCCACCACGTGCCACATTTGCAGGAAGCTCGCGGCGGTTAAGAAGGAAACCACCTCTCCGGACGGCACCGAAAGCCCTCCCGTGTAGCACGACAACAGGAGCTGCTCGAAAACGCACGGATGCATGACGTCTGGCAACACCACGCGGGCGCTGTTCTTCAGCAGCACCTGATCGCAGAAGTACGGAGAGCTGGCGGCCAGAACTGCGCGGTGGGCGCGAAACTGATGGCCGCCGATGGACACGATGAGGTCGCACAGCTGCCCTCTCTGCCGCTGCTGGTTCAGCTTCTTCAGGAGCGAGCAGGAAAAATCCGGGAACTCCACATGGAAGGAGTTTGCATCAGTCTCCATGGTTACGTAGAATCTAAACACTCTAAGAAAAAGGCAGGGTAGATTAGTGTGTACTAGTCAAAATCATCTGTACTAAATAGTGGGAAGAATCGAAAGACCATGCTACATGCAAATTACAAAATGCAAATGATTGTATAACTGTAAAGCAAAACATTTAAGCATCATTGTCTGGTCAATATCTATATAAGAGATTGTAATACAGCAAATAATAATATAATATTTATCCCAGTGTTATCTATGTGTTAAGCAGGAAACTCACCATCATCATCTATACAGCATTCATCTAATTTAATAAATGACAACAAATGTGGCTTTCAGCCTTTAATAGACCTTGTCATGTAATTAATCAAATAATGTGAGTAATAATAATAATAATTTGCATAAGCGCGACTATATTCCCCGCCAGAAATGTACCGTGGTTTTCACCCAAATACTATAGTAACACAGTCACTATATAGTAAATGTCAGAAAGCCTTTGAAAGCTTTTTACATTGATAGCAGGAGGTAAATTGTACTTTATTGGTTTCCGTGGCGATATTTTTGTAAGGAATTCCGGATATGGTGAGATGCAAATGAAAACCTTCAAGTATAAGAGATTGCAAAACCCACAAAGACATCATTTCTGGCAATAAAATCTCCCACATGGAAATAAAGATTAAACAAAATCTTAAAAACAGGTCTATGTTGGTAAACAACTGATATCTTTTAAACAAGTGAACTGTCAAAATCCACATCAGAGATCAGGCTAACCTGCTACACTGCTAGCTAGCATTTCAAGAGACTTGAAATGGATGCTAACAGGCGACAGACACATTGTTGTTCATGAAGGAGACGCGTAAATATTAGTGCAGTCTTCTGCCTCGCTCGCGCTACATTAAAAATGTCCGTCTTACCGTTTTCTGCATCATTTTAGTCCGGTTTTCTGAAAGCTAACCTGCCACCTCTCTTCCGAGTGCCAGTGCGCTGCGTACAGCTTACGTCAGCACGCACGGTCGCGTGGCGCAGGAAGAAATGTAAATAAACACGCCTACTTTCCGCTGGGTGCCAGATTGACACTTGTTTTTTTCAGCGCAGCTGTACTAAATAACAAAAACAGAAAAACAGGAGAGAGAAAAAAAATAAATAAAATAAAATAAACTGAAAATTGCTGTTAAGGTACGTGCTTTGGCTTTGTGGTCATGGTCGCAGACATGATATTGGCAAAGCATACATTTTTATTATTCTATCAACTTTTAATTTAGAATTATATCTTAAATGTTAGTAATAATCTGGTACAAGAAGAAAAGCTTCAGTGTTTTTACTCCTGAGGGGCTTCAGTAAGGATATTCTCTTGAGATATCAACCACAGCAAGCCTTATGGTGTTATTTAAGTCATTGGTATCATGTTTAGACACGTTCTTCATGTTTTATAGGTTGGTGTGATATTAATTTAAATTTTA